GGCTAAGATAATTGATGTTTTGTCATAAACCTACCTAGGCTTGTGGACTTACGCAGTTTGAACTTGTTGGTCCAGAAGGATGTAGGGTATCCGGCTTGGGGTTCAAGCAATAGAGGGCTTAGGGATGTTTACGGTCTAGGATATGGGCCTCAGCAAGGACCCCAATGATTACAGTTCGTTTTGAGTACTGTAGATAGAATATGGGGGATATGGGGATCTTATTATAGCATACCCAGAGACATAGTCTATCTACTTAAGGGGGGCTATAAACCCTTACAGGTTTGAGGTTGCGGAATGTGTCCCTAAAGCCGTAAGCCCTAAACCCCACAGCCCAAAAACGCAAACCCAAACCCCCAAAACCTAAACCCTAAACCCTCAACCCCCTAAACCCCTTAACCCTCTAGCTCCAAAATACCTGGCTCTGGCCTCTACCCAAGGCTCCTACAGGATCCAGCAGCAAAGGAACTTCCCATTTCCTAGGGCTCTAAGGTTTGGGGAGTTAAGGGTTTTTGGGTGTTAAGGGTTTTGGGGCTAAGAGTTTGAGGGTCTAGGGTTTGCGGTTCAGGGGATAAGGGGTTTAGGGTTCAGGGTTCAAGTGGTTTTCCTGGCTTCCCCAATGTAGTAACCGGGTCAACTTTTGCGGAGTGAATCCTTGAGGAGATTCTTGGTGTAAGAGATTTTCGGATTAAGGCACGCCGCGCCTTGACAGGTGTAGGATCTATAGTCCGCCTGAAGTAGATAGAATATGGGGTATATGGGGATATTGTTAATACACCCAAAGCCATATTCTATTTACTTAAGGGAGACTAGGAGGCTCAGGCTTCAGGGCGTATTATAGGGAACCTTAAACCCTGAACCCTTTAGGGTTTAGGATTTAGGGTTCAGGGTGAACCCTAGGTTTAGGATTTAGGGGTTGACAGGTGCTGCTCTCGCCCACCCTTCAGATGATCTCCGTGCCGACGCGGCCGCGCTCTGAAAAGGATGCGGCGCGGTTTCATCTTGCTCTCCTCTATGACAACGAGGAGCTTCCTAGGGTTTAGGGCTTGGGGTTGAGAGTTTAAGAAGGCATTAAACATGGAGGTGAACATGACATGAAGTTTGAACTCATGATAGTACCGAAGACAAAGAACTTGTTTTCCCTTGTGTCTGGGTGCCTGATGCGCACATGCTGGTCTGGGGTCTAGAAGCCATAAGCCCTCAACCAGCTCACTTTGCATAGCCGGGCGGAGGGATGGATGAACAGCTCTAGAGGTCTAAGAGTATCGATTTATGCAATGACAGATTTCCTTGGGAGCTCACTACGTGAAGATTGGTTCTGCCTTGTTGCAAAAGGGTGTGTCCCATACACTGGGCATAGGAACCTGAAGCTCGCAACTTTACGGAGAAGGTCCTCTCTATTCGAATGTTTAGGGTAAGGGTTTAGGGTTCAGGGCTTAAGTTTAGGGTTTAGGGTATAAGGCTTAGGGTTTGCAAGGCCAAGTCCAAAAGCAGAATGGCCCTCTCAATCTTCAATGCCTTGGCATATTAAACCCCCCCAAAACCTTAAACCTTGAACCCTACGCCCTAAACGGTAAACATCAAGCCCTAACCTTCAACCTTAAACCCTAAATGCTAGACCTTAAATGCCTAAAACAAACACAGCCCTGAACGCTAAAAAGCCCTAAAGCCTAACCCAGATCCCTGATTAATAAACCCCCCTCCCCTTCATGGGGATGATAATAGGGATTAATATTCAGGCCCTGAAAAGGAGGGGTCCACATTAAACCCTAAAACCTTAAACCCAAACCCGAAACCCTAAACCCTAAAACCTTAAGACCCGAAACCCTAAAATCGAAAAACCCTATATTCCCAGAGGCAGAGTTAGTGGACCTCATGGAGCAGGGGGTCCACCCAGACCTGCTGGTTGCAGGATCTCCTCGTTCTTTAGGCAGCAGGGCTTAGGATTCAGGCTTCAGGGTTAGGATTTAGGTTTTAGGTTTTAGGTTTAGGGTTTTTGATTTAGGGTGTAGGGTTTTTGATTTAGGGTGTAGGATTGAGGGTCTAGGGTTTACATATTGTTTAGAAGGGCTTAGGCTTTAATATAACACCCTAGGAACTATTAAAGCTCGACTATGTTCTTTGGTATAGGTCCAGGGGGATTATAGCTACTATAGGGGTCGGGCTGTAATGAAGCCTTGGATCAAATTCGGGATGGCTGTATCAGTGGAGTCCCTGAACATGGGGATTCCTTGAAGAGCCTAGCAATACATTGTAGGGTTTAAGGTTTAGAGGTTAGGAAGTTTGCCTCCTCCTTTAGGATTCTAGCGTTAATTGTAAACGCTAGCGCGCGCCCGCCTCGGCTGGCGGGGCTTCCCGCTGTAGGAACATGTAATTATAGATATACAGGTATTTAAGTTAGGTATATGGATACAGCCATATGTCTAATACATACACAGTAAAACCCTAGAAGTCTAACTAAGGACGCGCAAGTAGGACCCAGGAAACCGGTGGGGAAAATGTTCGGGGCCAGCGTTCGGACCTTGGGTTTAGGGTTCCGTCTTGCGGGTTGATAGGCGTTCTTAGGGTTTGGGACTTTCGGGTTTAAG